TTCTGCCATAAAATCTAACTTGAAACAACCGATGGCATGTGTGGGTGGAGAGGTGTACCTACTGGCGCCCTCACAGGTCCTGGAGCGTTTAAACCTCACCTGCTTCCTCCCTCCCACAGATTTAATTATACTTGGAGGAACCAGGGCTGTACCATGGTAAACAAATGTTCTGTCAGGACCCGCGAAGCCAGGTCAGGTGCATTGATCATAAAAAATATCTTATAATATATTTTTGATGAACATAATAGTTATAATTTTTTATTTTTTTTATTTCAACATATGAGATCCCATCATCAGATTTAATGTTTAGTGTGGATAAAAAATAAATAAAAAAAATACATCAGGCTAGTGATTCAGAGTGTTTGACACTGGTTTGGCCATGAGTTCTAGAGCAGTTGACAGCTAGCCATGAGGTCCTGAGAATGTCAGCTAGCTACAATCAGCAGGTCAGGAGCATTGTGACAGCTCTTGGACCAGCCGTTGGTGAACATTATTGATTATCTGCGCCAGATTTGGTGTTTTATGTTTGAACTGGAATTAAAGAAATTAAACAGCAGTTGGTGAGAAGATACCCCCAGGAAACCACCACTTTTCTCTGGAAAATAAAGTTGACAATTTTATAGCGTTTAGATTCCCTGTTTGGTGAAGTGTTAAACCAAACCGTGTCAGTTGCAAAACTTATTTCTGTGTTTCGCAGTCACTTTCAGGTACTTTCTGTGTCATTGGTTGTACTAACCAGTAAACTGAACAATTAGTCTTCAATAATTCTCACTTTGTAGGCATGAAATCAACATGTATATCTGAACCAAGAAAATTATGTAATAGATCTCGATGTACTCTTTGGTATGACAGAAATTTACACTGAATATCTGAGAGGATGCACATTACATATGAAAGTGAAAGTGACATGTTTGTGTGGTGTAGATATCGTCTGTGTGTCTCTTACAGCATCTGTAGTGCGGCATGTGTATGTATGGCCCTGTGACATTTAGGAATGTTTGTAAGATGTGATCTGTCTACAGTCTTGTACCTTCATCTGTCTGTAGTAGACATCTGGCTGTTTGTGTACTGGGGGTACAACATCTGGACAGAGTTATAGTTATATAACACACAAAGCGTCCTCAACCTACAGGAGTTAGGGCCTGTAATTGTCACAATTTGTTTAAGTAGTTAAGGATTGTAATATTTCCAGTCATCAAGCCATTATTTTAAAATATATGGTCTGCTTGACTGGTGTTTCCTTCAAGATCTGATTTCTCACAATGTGCTGACAGAGAAAGTATGGGACAATCACTCATCTACACATTGAGGGGTGTAGTTTGTCATTTCAAAGAGCAGGAGTTTGACATCTGTAATATATTTCTTTAAAATTTATTATATCTGAAAATATACTGTTAATTTACACTGACATCAGCTTGAGGGTGAAAACATTTGAATATCTGTCTCACAGTAGGGGTGGGCTTATTATAGGACACTGAAATAGCATTGGGCGATTTGTTTACTGAATTGTACACTTCACTCTTACATGACTTGTCAAGATAAAAAACAACCATTCCAGCTGTATCTCGACTTTTGTCTCACCATGCCTGCAGACAGTATACTGGGGTCTTATTATCTACAGATATTCTAGCGTAATGGTTAGCCAACAGAAACATTACAGGAATCGGTTCCTATTACTGTTACAAGTAAATTACACCACACCTGGTAGATCCCTGAATGTGTTACAGATTATCTAGTCAGATCTTTGGTAACAAGATTCGTTACAGAAACAAACCATTTCCCTGGTGTTTTTTTTAGATAAGTTCATGCTTACATCGGGTCATGATATAATTTTTAAATTTCTTAAAACTTTTTGGTACATTCTTACTATAGCAGGTGAAATACTCCTGTTTACATGGTAAATACTTGATGTTACACACATACTGGTACATCCTTTAACTCTTTCACTACCGAAAACCATAATGGACTCATCCATATCAATGCATGGTATAGTCTACTAAAGTTACATATGGCTGAAAGGGTTAAGTCTAGTCGTTTGAATAATTAAGCTTTGGATTACAAAATTACTCTAAAATGGCCCTGGTTTTTAACTATAGGGCTGGATTAGCCATTATGGTAAGAGTATCTTAAAATATATCGTCATTGTCAGAAATATGGAATATTTGGTTAATCCTTTCAACACTGTTAACTATAATGGACTCATCCGTATCAATGCATGGTAGAGTCTACTTAAGTTACATAGGGGTGAAAGGGTTAAAGAGTCTTCTTTGGATGTGACCAGGGTTAGGTTGTACAATCAATGACAATGACAATGACAATTGTTTTATTCTCATAAACAATAACAATACAGTGTAGAGAATACATATATACAAATGGGTGGCAATAATACATGGTGGAACAGGATGGACATTAGTATTGTAAATTAATTATGTCACTAATATCGGTAATAACTTCAGCCAATGATATCAATTCATGTTGTGTTACATAATGGAATAATGTATGGTATTTAAATGTGTTTGGTCTTTCATAATAATATCTGGACATATGTTTTCGCCTACTATATGAGAATTGGTTGATGTGTACATGTAAACAGATAATGAAATTCGTCGCCAATTTCTCTTAAATAACATAAACTACATAATCTATTTTCACGTGGTATATTGAACCACCTACCACTTTCAATTGGTAACTTAGTATTACATGTTCTAAACTTACAATACGCTTTAGCTAGTTTCGGAGGGAGTTCTAGTAAGTACTTTTCTGAACAAAGTTCGTACTTATATATTCTATAATTTGTTCCTTTCGGAGAAGTATACATTTCATTACTCCAGTTTGATATAAATTTTCCTTTTAGTTTATAAAATATGGTACTTTTTAGCCCATGTATACTTTGAAACTCTTGGCTATTAAATATATGTATCAGACTGCATTCTTCAAAAATACTTTTCACATATTTTAGCCATGATGATTCATAATTTGATAAAATTGCTAACAGTTTATTACTTAATTTATTCTGGTTGTTTTTTTTGTCATTTTAGCCCAAAATCCGACCATTCTCACTTTGACATTAATATCTAGCGGAAACCTTCCAAGTTCTCCGTATAGCATAAAGTTCGGTGTAAACGTTTTAACATTAAGTATGTGTTTGCAAAATTTTAAATGTAAACGTTTGATAAGTTTATAGTTACAGAAACCCCAAACTTCACATTCGTATAAAACAATAGGTTTGATGGCTTTGTCAAATATATCAAGTTGACAATCTATTGACAAATTATGATCCCTACATTTGGAAATAGCACCATACATTGCTTTTAAACCTTTTACCATACAGTTGTTTAATATTAAACTGTGTCAAACCAGTTTTAGTAAAATAAACCCCAAGATATTCAAAATCCTTTGCTATTCCTATAACAGTACCGTTGTATGTTAAACTAAGGATTAGATTATTTTATTGTTTCTGCTTTAGAGCTGATGACACTAATATCATTTCAGCCAGCTGGTACTAATATCTAGGGGCCTTACACGTTGATATAGATTTATAAGGTCAGTTATTGTTAAGGATTGAACTTAAAGAGTATGAATGTTCTGAACATTTTTGTTAAACTTTTAAGTAAATGATGGGTTGATTTTTGTATTTTTCTACAGTAAGATAAGTTTTTGAGTTTTCATTAATACAACACAAAATCTTGCAGTCTTCCCTGAAGATTATAAATTATTAACAGGCTTTATTATATAACATTCATGTAAATCAGACATACATTGTCTACACCTGTCACTTCCTCTTCAATTTGGGGCTGAAATTCATTTCAGTTTCTTATGAGATTTTGCCATTATTATTCACAATTTGATAAAGGAAAATCAAATAAAAAAAATATATATACATTTTGCTTCTAGCAGAACACGATTTAAAATTTCCTCATTTTCCTTATAGGATTTAATTTATAACAGGAAGCTCAGAAAAATCCTTCCTTCTTGTGAAAAGACAATGGAGTTAAAAAGGATAAAAGTAGATTTACATCAAGCTGTCAAATTTTCTGAAATCTAGGGAATTGGTTTCGGTTATCCAGGAACAACTCTGATAATATCAATATCTGGGACGCATATCATCATCTTACATTGTGTTGACATGATCACAGGATGATTCAGGTATATGGTAATGAGATTGTAATTTTGAATATCAACACCTAATGTAGAAGTCTGCTATCTAAGGTGTCTCAAATACAATTCTGTGTGGAACACTGCCACACGCTTGATGTCAGAAATTTGTCAGTTTATTGGATTACACGAGGATACAATAGGAATGGTTTACAGTACGTACATGGATGTCTCTTCAAATAAAAAAGGTTCACTCTTTTTCAAAGATCTTTAATTTGTAAACATTTTCATTTGAAAAGTTTTGAGTGGTAAGTGGTCTGGCTCAGCCTCCAGTGGATTTACACAGGAGTTAAAGGAATTAAGATAAGACAATTACCCGTATTTCTCACAGGAAGTGGTTCTGGTATAGTGTCAGCCGGCAGGAGTGATTTTACCAGTATCTATGGTGTGTACTCTGTAGTATAACTGTGGTGGACCATTTACTTGGAGATTTTATACCTAACATGACCGTAGTTTGGATATTTAGTTCTCCTACTGTAAGTAGTAGTGTGATGTAGTCACTTGGATTAAGAATTGATCACAGTGAGAAGGTTAAAGTTAATTTACTGTTGACCAGCAAGTAGAAATATTCTAATTTTATTCAAACTTGTATAATTTAACCCATTCACCCCTAAAGTCCCATTTGAACCTTACCAAATCAAAGACTGGGCAAGTCCAGTTTAAATATGTAGGGGTGCAAGAGTTAATGTGAGGTTACTTAATTAATACAATTTATCTGGAAGTAGTTCTCTGCTCCAGTCCAAATTTTTTCCAGATTTTTGGTAATTGTTTAGCCAAACGTCCATATTTTCCACATAGATAACTACAGAAGCTTTAATTCAGATATAAATGTGTGGTATTTGCAGGTTGTATGGTGTGCCTTGGGAGGTCCAACTATTTCCGGTTCAACCACCCAAAGGAGGCCAAGAAGATTAAAGATGCTCTCCCCAACTGTCGGATATCATGTGCCCCTCTGCACTTCTTACAAGGTAAGACTATCATATACCTAGCTATTTCTTTAAGATTTTTAAAAAAATCAAAAAAATCTGATGACTTCTATTTTTTAATTCTACGTTTTAATGACCTGGCAACGACTTTCTCTACATTGCTATCTCAGACACCATCATTGTGACAATTAAGGGGGGAGACAACTCTCCCTAACGTGAGAATTGTTGTTTTGTGTAGATAACTCAGGCTAGTATTAATAACAATAGCAGTGTTGTATCTCCACATCGTGTTTAAACATTCTACAATATCAGAAGAGGCTGAACAAATTGAGCTCATAAATTCAACGAAAGAATCATACCAAATTGGAAAATCTTGATAAGAAAACACCATTAAAAAACACCATTAAAAACACTTGTCCAATGGCTGATCCTTTCTTTATACTGCATACTTTCATCTTAAACATTTTTATCCCCCGCTTTCAACTAAACGGGGGACACTAATTTGAGTTTGCCGTCTGGCTGGCTGTCACGTTTTGTTTCCGTGCAATAACTACAACAAATGTTAACCGATCATCTTCAGTTAAATGCCTTAAGCGCTCGGCCAAGTTTGATGACCACTTTCAGCGGACTTTATTTGACGGAGTTATGGCCCCTTGAATAACGAAAAACATAAATATCTGCTGCGTTTCGTTTCCGTGCTATAACTACAACAAATGTTAACGATTTTCTTTAAACTTGATACCAGGGTTAAATGTATTAAGGGCTCAACCTAGTTTGACAACCACTTCCAGCGGACCCCATTTGGCGGAGTTATGGCCCCTTGAAAACATCATTATCTTCCGTTTCTGTTCATTAAGTCTCGCAAATAGTATCCGATTGTCTTCAAACTTAGAAACAGGGTTCAACGCATTAAGGGCTCGGCCAAGTTTGACAACCACTTTAATCAGACTCCATTTGGCAGAGTCATTACCTGCAGTTTCCCCTTAATAACTCCAGCAAATATTAGATAAGACTTTTTTTTCTTCAAGTTTCAAGCTATACATTATGTCTCAACAGCACGATACTCACATATTTAAACCTAACCTCAATTATGTTTACCTACAATATATCCTGAAAGTGGGGGATATAAATTCCACGAATTTTCATGTTGTACTGAGGATATTTCATGAGCTTCTTAACAGAGTTTTAGAAATGAGTGACCCCCCTCCCCTTTCCCCCTCCCGCAGGGGATAGAACTTCTTTAAGGATGATTACCCCCCAGGAGTTAAGTTGCTATTAGACACAGATTGCTCCACACATGGTTCTGTATACATAGACCTGTGGCATGTGTTGTTTGTTATATACCATGTGGGGCCTCTGTACCATCAAATACACATGCAGTTTGAAATGTGCGGGACAAGTGTGTGACACGTGTGGACCAACACATAGTACAATAACAAAAAGTCTTGTGGTTATTACATGCATAGTTGTGATTTCTGGTTCAGGGGACACAAGTCGAACCAAATCCAGAACCTGTGGTCTATAAGTTACCAAAAAACAGTCTGTAAAAAGGATCTTTCTACATTTGTATTGGTGGTGAGAAATTATGGATCAAGAAATTCCTGTGACAAAAAGGTACCCTTAACTGGTAGATTTGTTTTTTCTCTTTGATTTATTTTACCTTAATATCAAAGAAGTTTAATGAAACTTTTAAATAAAAATAAAAATGTCAGATCTAAATAACTGCACAAAGGCCAAGGTTTCTGGATGCAAAAAATGTTTGTTGCGTTATAAGCAATTGTATGGCATTCCGTTTTATAGCTTCAGTGCAAAATGCAATTTATATATAATAAGTCAAAATCACCTGTTCCTGTAAACCTTTTACCCAGTGACCCCCATCCACCACCACCCTCTACCCTACCATAGCAAATGTATAACAAGTATTGAGTGTAGAAATTGTGTACCTAACAGGGAACGCTGTGAGATTCAAAACTTCATCATTAACTTTGATGTCTTGTGAGATATTGTAGATTAAAATTCCACGTTTATCGTGTTAATGTAAAGTATACCTAATATAACATGTTTTTGTTGTACAGGTATGTTACATATCGTCACGAAATCACAAAGAAATTGATTTCAAAATTCATTATCCTTCAAAGACATCTGTTTGTTTTGAAGTAGATGGTAAAGGATTTGGATTTTATTTGATGATTTTTTAGTAAAGTCAAATTGGCAATGTTGGCAGTAAAAGATTTGGAATCTCTTTGAAGTTCGAAAGTATGTATGGAAAAATAGTGGGGAGAGCTACATTTTATCAGATCAGTGGAAAAAAAGGCTGACTGGGCAAATAATGATGGATGGTTACGGTAGGTGTACGACAGGGCATTGGAGACCGGGTCTAACTAGAGCATTATTGGGCGATCCTGTTTTCAAAGATTGAGATTTTATTTGGAGCATAAAACATTTGTTTGGTTCAAAAGGTCTAGGAAACGGTAGCAATTTAAAATAACAGGCAAGTATAGTAGAAATACCATTAAAGTTTAGGAGTCTGCCCGGACAACTGATTAGAATCAATTACAGAGATGTTGGCTGTGGGAGTTGGGAGATAGCCTGTACCAGGTGTGGAGATAGTGAGGGGGGATATAAGGTAGGGGTTGGGGCGCCATGATGTGAGGGGGGCTATAAGTTAGGGGTGAGGGAGCTGTAAGGTTGGGTGGGGTAGGGGGAAGGAAAATTTGTAAGGGAGGGGGATGTATGGTTGGGAAGGGGGAGCTGTACGGTGGGAGGGGATAGGGGAAGGAAGAGTTGTAGGGGATGGGGCTGTCAGGTGGGGGTGGGGAGCTGTAAGGTGGGGTGGGGTAGGGGGAAGGAAAAGATGTGGGGGGGGGGGCTGTAAGGGGGGAGGGGGGAGGGGAAGGAAGAGTTGTGGGGGATGGGGCTGTCAGGTGGGGGTGGGGAGCTGTAAGGTTTGGTGGGATAGGGGGAAGAAAAAGCTGTAGGGGAGGGGGCTGTACGGTTGGGGTGGGAGAGCTGTAAGGGGAGGAGGGCTATAAGTGAGGGGTGGGGAGCTGTACGGTGGGAGGGGATAGGGGAAGGAAGAGTTGTGGGGGATGGGGCTGTCAGGTGGGGGTGGGGAGCTGTACGGTTGGGTTGGGAGAGCTGAAAGGTGAGGGGGGGGAAGGGAGCTGTAAGATGAGGGGTTGGAAGGGAGTTGTAAGGTGAGGGGGGGGAAGGGAGCTGTAAGATGAGGGGTTGGAAGGGAGCTGTAAGTTGAGGGGGTTGAAGGGAGCTGTAAGGTGGGGGTCGGGAGCTGTAAGGGGGGGGGGTGGAGGGGAGCTGTAAGGTTGGGTGGGATAGGGGGAAGGTAAAGATGTAGGGGAGGGGCCTGTACGGTTGGGTTGGGAGAGCTGGAAGGTGAGGGGGTGGAAGGGACCTGTAAGGTGAGGGGGTGAAAGGGAGCTGTAAGGGGGGGGGGTGGAGGGGAGCTGTAAGGTGAGAGGGGGTAGGGGAAGGAAGAGTTGTGGGGGATGGGGCTGTCAGGTGGGGGTGGGGAGCTGTACGGTTGGGGTGGGAGAGCTGTAAGGGGAGGAGGGCTATAAGTGAGGGGTGGGGAGCTGTACGGTGGGAGGGGATAGGGGAAGGAAGAGTTGTAGGGGAAGGGGCTGTAAGGTGGGAGGGGGTAGGGGAAGGAAGAGTTGTAGGGGAAGGAGCTGTACGGTTGGGTTGGGAGAGCTGTAAGGGGAGGAGGGCTATAAGTTAGGGGTGGGGAGCTGTAAGGTTGGGTGGGATAGGGGGAAGAAAAAGCTGTAGGGGAGGGGGCTGTACGGTTGGGTTGGGAGAGCTGTAAGGTGAGAGGGGGTAGGGGAAGGAAGAGTTGTAGGGGAAGGGGCTGTAAGGTGGGAGGGGGGAGGGGAAGGAAGAGTTGTAGGGGAAGGGACTGTAAGGTGGGAGGGGGTAGGGGAAGGAAGAGGTGCGGGGGGGGGGGGGGTGAGGGGGGGGGTGGGGGGGGGGGGGACCGGAGGGAGAGCTGTAACACTGTAATTGCCCTGTAGCAGGGGAGCTCCAGTCTCTGTATATATCCTTTTTATCTTTTACTTGTAGTTTTTTTTATCTCACAATAAAACCCTTGGTCAGGTTTAAGTGGAGCATGTGTGTTCTCTTAAAAATACTACCAATGAACTTTACAGTCTGACTTTGATGCCAAGTAAAACTGTATCTTTGTAAACAGTTTCCAACTCTACAGATGACGATTCCTCAAAGTTTGATGATGTCCGACAGTTGTCATAGTGATGTCGGACAGTTGTCACAGTGACACCTGATTTTAGCCAGTGTTGCAAAAGATTATCATAAAAATGTAGATGTGGACTCAACTTGGCATTTCAAACAAAGAATGTTAAACAGTTTTAACTGCTGAAAACTGTCAATGGGACAAATAATTTGTCTGACATCAGAGGGGTTGCCAGGGTTTTAGAAAGTGAGTAATTCATTAGGTAATCCCAATTGATGTTAGGATGTAGCGTTTCTGACATGGCTATGTACATACATTAAAATAGCCATGTGTGTACTAACATGTGTTGGATTATCGTATGTCAATTGCATTGAATTATTTCTGTAAGTAAACAGCAAATCATAGATAGACAGCTGCTTAAAATTACAACAATTTCAGTTTTTTACTAAAATAAAAAATATATCGGCTTTAACTGCGAGAGAGTTTCACCGACATACTCATCGTTCTTAGTGACTCACTGACTCTTATCCTATTCAAGAATAACAGACAAATCACAACGAAAAAGTGTGTTGAACTGTAATTTTTTGATAACTTTTTCAAATATTCTGCATTGGTGCAATATACAGTGACCTCAGACTACCTACAAATACACTTTGGACTATGTGAGGAAAACTCTATTCAGATGTACAATCGAAGACTCTTGGCACAGTAAATTGATTCATTATTCAGACTTGAGAAAGACCAAGTTTCAGAACCTTCCTGATGCTATGATAAAGATTGAGAACTGATACCGAACACAGTGATTTATTTTGTTAAACCAGAGGTGGACAGTTTC